AGCCTCAGGATCTGATTCAGGTAGTGGTAATATTGACGACACTGAGAAGGAAAGGGAAGATATTATAAATAGAGCTTCAGGTTCTGGTTCTGGCAGTGGTAATATTGACGACATTGAGAAGGAAAGGGAAGATATTATAGCATGGAATCTCGAAGATATCTTTGCCGAATTGGGACTCAACAATATTGTCGTCTACCATTTTGACTACCAATATTTCCCGCCCGAACCTGCTTATAATCGGGATTGGAATGTGTTCTTAGTGCTGCCCGGTACGTCTTTATTGAAACTGCCGTTCTATCAGAATGCATCTATCATGGCGGATTACAAACGTTACGCTACCCAATTTCTTAGCTCATTTTTTGGGTTACCTAATGCCACGATAAACGCCATCATGGAAATCGAAAAGCAGATAGAAGAGGTAAAAACTATTTTTCTTCTTCTTAGAATAGACATATTTATGGGGATTCAATTATTTTGTAACGATTGAAATGACCATGGATAAAGAAAATTTTTGTAAAAATCATAATAGCTTGTGAATCAATTATAGTTACAGTTACAAACTATTACTAAACCTAACCTTATTATCATAATAAAAAATCGTAAAATAGTATTTTAGAACAAAATTTGCACCAAACATAATATATGAATCGTTATTTTTTTAAAAAGGTTAAAGAAAAAGTTTCCCTATCTCAGACTCATAAGGTTTTGTACATGCAAAATCCTTCCGAAAATATTACTAGCAAGGTAATATAATATAATATATTATTAAAAGTATTAATATCCTATATTTCATTTAAAATGTCAATATCATTTTTTTTTTGAAATATACCTTCTACTTCATCATAAATATATACAGTATTGATAATATACAATATATATATAATAAAATCTTAATTCATGTACAACTTTACCATCACCTTATTTTCAAAATAAATAGATTTCTCCTTTATCATCTGAGAATTATCATTAATCTTATGAGGATTCTCACTGAGGTTTTCCCATTCACTCCTTACTTTTTCTGCATCTTATCTTTTGATTCACTGAAATTAGAACTTTTACTCGATGAAGTGTCTCTTAATTTTTCCAAACAAAATATGTCTATTCCTCCTCTACCTTTTGTTTTTTAGGAACATCCTCCGAGGTATTCCATATAAGGCATTATTACCTCTCATTTAGCTGTTAAATCTTGCATTCGCCATCTTTCCTCTTTGCTAATATTTTATTAGCCGTATTTTTGGGAGAATTCCCCTCATCAATAATTAGTCTCCCAAAGTTTACATGAATATTGTTATTTTAGATGTTAATCTCCTTATTTGGTTTATTTCCTGCTTCTATCCATCTTTATTAATCTCAACAAGCGCTTACAGTGTACGGGTTAAATTACTTTAGAAAAGAGAACTCATCTTATCCACGAATTTGATCCTGTTATACCCTAATAGGTTGCAAGGCCTTTAAAATTTCAAAAGTAAATGTATAAATTATTGAGAAAATCGATCAACCTAAAGGAATCTAGTTTTTTTTTGAAAAGGAAAGATTTGTTATCACGATTATCCACCCCAACATTTTCTTGCTATATTCAAATTTATTAATAACAATTATTCGTTATATTGTTTTAAAATATATAGTATTTTATATTTAATTTCCTCATAAAAAGTAAAATAGAATTTTGTAAAAAGTTATGGATTCTTTATATAAAGGCATTCGATATGGCGAGAATGATTACGAAGGCTTTCGGCAAACGCAATGTAACGTTCGATGTTCCGGTTAAAGCTTGGAACGAGATATACCCAAATTTTATTAACGAATTTTTCAATGATAAGTTATCAAATGCTGAAGATGCCGAGTATACAAAAATATATTTTAAAAAAATTCTAATTAAGGTTCTAAGGGGAGGGGGAGGGGAGTTTAATCCCTGAAATCAAGAGAAAGGGAATTTTTTTGCACAAACTGTTTTCCTTCAAAACAAGGGCGTCTACAACTAAAGAGGATAGTTTAATTTTATTTAGAGGATAGGAAAGAGCTATTTTGTTATATATATATATACATTACTAAGAGTGGGGTATCCTTAAGGATGCAAAGCAAGGACATAACAAACAGAGCTTATACAGTTATAGGAGCACAAAATATTTGGAGGTGATCTTTTTGTTTTTCAGAGACCTCAAGATTGTTTCTGCCTCAAAGAAGAGTTATCAGATAAGTTAACCTTCTTTTTTCTATAAAACGTAATCTTAGACAAAAATATGGCAAGAAATCATATTTCATTTATAGTTAAAATTAATTCTATACAATCTTATGTAATATACATTATTATAAAGATGTTGGGCGCAAAAATTTATTTACTAATTTACTGTAATTTTCTACCATTCAAAAAAGGGCTCTAAATTATTATTTAATGTTTCGATTACTCAACAATTGGATCTCTTATTTGCCCAAAAAGTATTCGGATATGCGTGGGAATTTGGAAAGATTCTTGAATCCCACAGCAAGTCCATTTAGCGCAGAATTCTGTATGGGACAATTGGAAAAACAACTCAGCTATTTTTTCATTCAAAACGTTGGCCATAAAAATATTGAAAAGGTTATATATATCAAATAAATATTGTTAAATGTTAATATTATTTTATTAAAAATCAAAATGCAATACCAAACCATAAATAATTAATATTATATGCTAATATACCATACCAGGTTAAGAGCATAGTGGTCAAGTTGAAAGAAAATTACATAAAATACTTCAATAGTTTAGAATGGTTAGATGAAAACTCCAAAAAGGCTCTAATAACAAAGGTTTCAATATTTTTTTTTTATATAATTGGCGATTCTGTATCTACATTATTTTTTGATGAATAATAGATAGAAATTATTTTGGCAAAAAGACACGGACATAATTTTTTCGTAACAAAAATATACAGAAAAATACTAGAGTTTGGTTGAGAAAAAAATGCCTTGAAGAAGCTTTTTTCTAAAATATGGATATTTTTGCTGTGTCTTTTAGTCTTTGAGATAGGGACTTTTGTCGGGTAGACTGTTCGGGTCTTTTTCGCCCAGATATTTCTGACCAGGATTCGTGTTGAATTTATCATATAACTAATATAAAAATAATTTAGATCGATATTTTGAAAGTTAATGTTGGGCATCATCCCAAGGAAAATTCTACGATTATTTCGAAGAGCGTATAAAATATTTATTCCATACATTTTATGACAATATATTTTGACAATTTAACAAATTTTTGAAAAATAAATGAGATATATATAATTTGAAATGAATTAAAACTAAAGAGAATCTTGTTTCTGTAAAAAAAATTTCAAATATTTATTTCTATATTAATTTAAGATAACAAATAAAGATGATTTTGTAGGAAGCATATTTCAAATCAAAGATTACATCTATGAAGAATTTTTACAGCAAGCTATCACCAAAAAGAGAGAGTATATTTATAATTTATATCCTAAACCATTATATCAAAGTTTAATCACTAGGATTATTAATATTGTCCATCTTCGAATTTTTCTATTTTTTAAAAAAATTGTCATATTTCTGGTTCTTATGTCTTTCCATTTCGTTTTCCTTATTCCTTTCTATTTTAATAATTCTTAATTATCTTTTTTTTTTTCATCAGAATAGAGAAATTAAAATGGTATAATAAATATAAAAACATATATGGTAAATTAGTTTAAAATTTTTTTTTATAGAATAAAATTTTGATTAATTTGATTATTGCTTTTTTTTAGGAATGCAGTTTAGCTATGAAATTAGTGTTATTTAACCGCTCGATTTAAGTCGATTTTTAAAAGCGGCTAACTCAATATTTTAGCCAGAAACCTAAGCCTCGCGATTTCGCTATTAAATGTCCGAACCTTTATAATCTTCAGAGTTGAATAATATTTTTTGGATTATAAAATAAATATAGAAAGTCACCTTAAAAAAATTTATTTTAAAAACAAAGTTACTTCAAAAGTTAATACAAAATATTTGTAAAAAATAAATATATAAAAAAACACCCTAAAAAATATATTTTAAAAAAAGAGACATTAACAATTAACATCAAAATTTTTTTTACAAAATAAATTAAAAATATAAATATTTTAAAAAACCACCTTAAAATTATATATTTAAAAAATAGACTAAATAAAATCAAAAGATATATTAAAAACACCTATTTTGAGTGTATTTTATAATTAGGAAATATGTCTAGGCAATAGTGTTGTTAAATGGCTCAATTTGAGCCGATTTTTAAGAACTGCTAACTCAATATTTTAGCCAGAAATATAGATGTCCAAACCTTTGTTCCATCAATGAGCAAAATCTTCTGACTTGGGTAATATTTTTTTGAATAAAATATTGAGTGAACCATTTTTACAAATCTGCTAACTCATTTAAGCCAGATAAATATAGCTTAAACCTAATTATTTTGCTAATAGAATTCAAAACCTTTGTGCCATTTATAATAAAAATCTTCAAGCTTGCATAATATTTTTCTGGATAAAATATTGAATTAGCTATTTTTAATAATCGGTTCAGAGCCGTTTAATAAAACTAGTGATAGTGTACAAGTAAATATTTATTAATTCACTGCTACAGAATAATTCATATCTATAGAGTATTTCTCATCTATAGCATATAAATATGGAAAGCATGGATATAATAAAAATCAGAGACCTGCAAACTCGGCCCGACCTCAGGCTCGGGCACAATATTCATGAATAAGACCGGGCCGTAAATTTTAAAACCAAATATTTTAAATCGCCATTATTAGCTATAAAAATATAAATAAATGTAAAATATTTTAAAAAAAATCCGGGTCCGGCCGTGCAAATAGTACTGCAGATCTCTGATAAATGCAAGAAATGAATGGGCATATTTCTCATATACCCCCCCCCCCCCCCCTCTTTTTATTTTAGAGTTTGCGCGAGTTGTTTGTTCAGTATATAGTTCTGTTTAATTATTATATATTAAATCTAATGTCAAAATTTATTCATTAAATTATATTAATATAGTTATTTACGTGCCATGACTTATGATGGGTATTGCTTTTACAAAATAAACGAAATTGGTAAAGTATAATTCAAATAAATTATATTTATTATACTTTTTAAAAGGAAAAATAATAATAAGGAAGATTTCTCAGTTTAGTTATTTGTAGAGTAGGGTATAACGTCTCTTCCTTAAAGATGGATCGATCTTATATTCCTGGACTCGCAGGGTATGTAGGGTCCACTTAAAGCATGATGATCCTTAAGTAAGGGCTCATTTATGATAGTCTTAAGAAAAGATCTGAGAAAAGAAAAGTAAAGGAAAGGAAACAAACAAGACCAAAATCTATATAGAAAGGAAGAGAATATATATTTTTATATTGACTTATGTACTTTATATTTTTATTTTAAATAATTAAGATTTATCCCTAGGTTCGTTGGGGTATCCATTAGCTGATGGATCCGAAGATGAGTAAATAATATTCACTAATCTAATGTTAAACCATAACTTTAATTTTTATCTGTATAGAATAAATTATTATATTTAAAAAAAATTTATTTATAAAAAACCATTATATTATTATTTTTTGTATCATACAGCGTATTTTGGTATGCAGAAGTTGGCACTTTGTTAGCTCATGAATTGGGGCATCCTTTTTTCCACTCATGTATATACCTATATTACTTTATATTATCATGTATTAATTCTTCAAGAAATTCATTTTTAAAATTTTAATTTTGGTTATAAAATAATATTAAGATATTTAGTCTTGTAAGGTATTATCTCGAACTTTCAAAGCATCTTTCAAATTTGTACAATCATTATTTTTCTATGCGCATCCCTTTAAACTTTAAAAAAATATCAACTTAATAATTTAGGGTTCTAGACAAACCTTAAAAAACACCATATACCATAATTTTCTTAATCTTTTTTTTTGAATTTATTTAAAATAAGTTCTCAATAACGATTCTTTTACCTTGATTTCTCCTCACGTTAAGCCTAAAATACGCAATACAACAAATTGTTATCAGGATTACAACAAGCGATATCCAGTAAAATAAAAAAAAATTTAATTAAATTTTTATGTGCCATTAATTTTAAGGAGGGTACCAAAAATAATAATAGCTTTTTAATTTTTTCATAGCCTTATCTAACAACGATGTTGGCTAGGTAATCGTTCTTAGCTTTGAATCGCTATTATCTTTTTCCCTATAAAACATTGTACATATGTGGTTCAGAGTATATTCGAATTCAGATTTCATAGGAAGTCTTTAAAAAAAATCATTTATAAATAAGAGTATATTTAAAAAACATAATTTAGCCTGAACACTATTTTAGCAAATACATATTCTACATATTCTATGAATTTCAGATATTTTATTTAAGAAATTTCGAATTTTTTAAAATGCATATATAATATTTTTAGATTAATCATAACATAACAGCGGGAGAGATTATGGCCGACAATTTAGGATTGCACATAGCGTATCAAGTCAAAAATATTTTTTTTTATTATACAATATGCTATTTTCATGTTTATAGTACCCATAAATTAGCAGTTGTGTTTTATGCAACGAGTTAAAAAACAATAATATAGGTATCATAATTTATTAAAAAATGTGTAAAATGTTTTTAACTCAAAAAAACCATAAAATTTAAGATTTAACAATTAATATCTTCATTGTGAAACTAATTTCCATATTTGCTATAGTGCATAAAATAACAATGATGTATATATAATATTAGATTGGGAATTCGTGCTTTAAATGCATTTTCAAGTATGCAGGAGTCAGTTATTTTATGATTTTTTGTAAGTCGATTAAATGACATTATAATGATGAATAAGACAATTAGTCAGGGCACAAACCACTAATCGATGAATTGCCAATCTAGAACTATATAAAATACATCGTTGCATATATAAATAATAATATTGAGAAATATTAAAAATATAGCATAAATTGCATAAATGCTCAAATATGTTTGAAATATTTTAAAAGCCTATTTTCTCAACAATGCAATCGCGCCCATTTAAACATTACCATTTAAAATAATTTATTTTCATTAGAACGCAGAGATAAAATGGCCCGATTTGGAAGCACTATAATTATCACTAGTTGTTTTGTTTTAATCAAGTATATAGATTAGTTTTATTTAAGAATACAATATCCTTTATATTTTTTTTTGGTTCATAACATAATCACGTAATAAGCCTTTTTCAATAAATCTTCTATTAAATCCCATCCTCCCAATCCTTTTCACATTTAAATAAAAAAAACCTTTATTTACCACTCTTCACCAACTATATTGTATATCTATCCTTCTTTCCTTAGATCAAATTATAATCTCTACGAATAATTTAAAATTTTAATTCTGATTTATCCAAGGCCGCCCTTAAGTTTATCTTAGTTCGGCATTAAATAAAAGTTGTAAAATTCTTTCTTTTTGTAAAAAAAACTTTTGAAGAGGTTTTGTCCTTTTTTTTTACTAATATTTTAACTAAGATCATAATATTATATTGCATATTAAATATTTAAAGGCTTGGACTAAAAAAGGCAAATCGTACTCTTTCGATGGTAGAAACGTAACAGAGGAGGAATTATTTTTTACGATATTTGCGCAAGTAAGAGTTATTATATAATGTGCACTGATACAATTTAAATTGTAATGCAATCCAGATATAGTTGTTTTTCCCGGATCTTTATAATTTCTACTAATGCCTTTGCCCTTTAAATTTTGGCACAAATTAATATAGTGTTATTATTTATGGATCTCTTTTGAAAAATAGTGTTTTTTCAATATTGATGGGGTTGCGAGAAGATGCTATTTTTTCAAAGTCACTCTATCTGAAAAAGCATACTATTTGACTAAAAAACATGTATAATTTTTATTAGAATTCGCCTGGATAAATTTAGCAATTCAATTTTTGAAATAAGGATAATATTTTATTTTTCTCTCTCTACAAATTATGGCACCATGAAAACTAAGAAAAAGGAATATATAAATATTATTATATAATATGGCATTGAATTAAAAATTAATGTAAAAGATTTTTGGAAGAATAAATTTAAAAAATTACAAAATGAAAGGAAAGTTAAAAACAAACAAAATAATTCATGAAAACATATAAAAAAACATTGGAAATTATATTTTATATAATGAAAAAAAAATTAATGTTGGCTAAAAAATGTTTTTGCATCTTATTCAAAAAATCAGGTTATGCTATAAAATTTGTGAAAAAAGGACATTGACGTAAAAAATAAGATAACTTGGGATAATATCTTGAAATTTTCTTAAATAATTTACAATATTAATAATAAATGATTGTTCTCATATAATATTTATAGTGATGTTAAGGTAACTAGTTACATTTTGGCTAAAAAATAACTGTAACTAGTTATATTTTTAAAATTGTAACTAGTATCTGTAACTAGTTATATTTTTAAAATTGTAACTAGTAACTGTAACTAGTTATAATTTTTGAAATGTAACTGCCAAAAGTAACTAGTTACTTTTAAAGATATATTCAAATAATTAACTTTATTTTTAATATGTTGTGATAAATTAATTTTAAATTAAATTTGTTTTTTAAATTAAATTTATTAATTTAAAATTTTGTGAAAATGTCTGATTGTTATAATTTCCCGTTCAAATTGATTTTATTTTCTTAAATTTTTACATTGCTGCTGGGCTTCATAATTTTGTAAGCAAATTCAAGTAATTTAATAAATTTTAATATTATATTTATTTACAAATGTAGCACAATATATTTGTTTCCGTCAAGTAACAAGCATTGGAACTTCATATCATACGTAATAAAAAAATTTTAAATTTAGTATAAGGAAAAACAAAGACAGATTATTTTAGAATTTAATATTAAATTATTAATCATTACTTACAAGAACCAAGTCTAACAAAAATATCATGTTATAGGTTTAATAATCTTTATGATAATGACAACATCATTGCTGCAATTCTTCACCCTTTATTTAAAACTGACTGCCCTTGGAGGCAAGAAAGGAATAAAGCAAAAAAGGAGGAAATTTTAAATTTAATAAATACCTTAATACCTCAAAGTGAATCCCAGACGAATGAATCATGCTCAAAACCAACATCACTTGATGTAGTTGGATTTTTTGACCTAAAGCGCCAAAATATTCTGGATAATGAACTTATAGAAAACTTTATCAAATCTAATAACAACACTTTTTCTTTATATAACGATTTTCCAAAGTAAAAATTACTTTTTATTAAATATAATGTTGTTCTAACATCAAGTGCTCCCGTAGAGCGCTTGTTCAGTCTAGTTAAGCTCATTTTTGGAGATAAACGAGCACGTCTCTTACATAATAACTTAGAAATTAATTTGTTGTTAAAAGCAAATAAACATTTATTAGATTCTAATTTTTATGAAAAATAAATGTTTTTTTTTCAATGCAAATATATATTTTTATATTCGATATAAATATTCAATTTTGCGATATTTTTTTATATAAATAAATTGTATATTATTTTAAATAACTGATTATTCTTTGTTTATCCTAATTTTTTTTATATTAAATAAATGCATTCAATATATAAATAATGCGCATATGAATGATGTATAAAGTAAGTAACTAGTTATTTTTGAAAATAACTGTAACTAATAACTAGTTACTTTTGTAAAAATGTAACTAGTAACTGTAACTAGTTATGTTTTTGCCAATGTAACTAGTAACTGTAACTAGTTATGTTTCAAAAGTAACTTTTAACATCACTATATTTAAGTCATTATCCAATCGGGTATTGAGAAATCTATGTACATATAAATCTATGATTATATAATAACAAGGTATTGATTGCAGGGGGATTTTGAAAGCTATCAATTAAATTATTTCCTTATGGAGATTTTAAACATCTTTAAAATTTGATTTGACCGGAAATGTATATTCTAATATACGGAGTGCTCCATACTGGATATATAATACAAACTTGTGTTAAGCTTTTGTAATTTTCTTTTTTATAAAATATTATATATAAATGCTTAAAGGTTCATGGCAAAATTGTCCAAAAAGTTTGATATGCCAAAAAAGTTAGAAAATAAAATGTTACATGTGTGAGAATAAGATCATTGCAATAGTCTTTGATTTTATTTAAATACTTTCTTATATCAAATTGTTGTATTGTATTATTAGAGATTCTGTAGCGTGAGGAGCGAGGAGGAGACATACCGCTATTCGCGATACGATGAACATCCCCTAGGAAGATATAGGTTTTAATTTATCATTTTAATTCTTAAAAATTTATGACAAAAAAAACGAATAAATTTTACAAGTGATAATAAATTTTGTTCTAATATTTTTTTTTAAATAAAAATAAGGACAAATGGCATTTTGGCCAATTCCGATGTTTTTCAAAAGGTATTCAATTGTAAACCAACCAAGACATGCACATTATGGAGTTAAAGAAAGAAAAATTAGCTTATCAAATTTTACAAACAATTTATCTTTAATATTCGAATCAAATATATCAAATTTTAAAATTCTTTTAAGTGATTTACATACAATTATTTATGGAAATATATTCTGATATAATTAAACGTTGGGTTTATAAAGCATTTTCTCAAAAGGTGCCGAATTTAATACATAAATATTAAATATATTAGATCAGAACTAATAAAAATAAGTATCTAAAAATAATTTTTAGCAAGTCATCATATTTATTAAAGTGGTAAACTAATTATTAGATTAAAAATTACAGCATGATTATTGTTGTGATTGGAATATATATTTTTATATCGAATTTCTTACCTATGTTCGTCTTTTTAAAAATCTTTCCAGTTGGTAATATTCTTCTAAATAAACTGTTTTTACCCAAAAATTATAAAAATCACTCTTTAGAATATTTTGCTTTTGGCAAAATGTATTTATGTTCATTATTTAAAAATTTGTATAAATGTTCCTTAAAGTCTTAGCTATCATGTAAAGTTTATTAGAAGTTCATAACTTGAAGTTACTGCAAAGGTTTTTAAATATTAACATCTACATCGCCAATAAAAGTATATGAGCAAAAGGAACATTAATAAATAGTTTATCTTTGTGTTATATGGAATAAAAAAAATAAAATAGTCAGGAGATGAATTCTAAAAAGGGGACATTCAAAATTTAATGTTTTTGATAATTTCTTTACATTTCCTCATTGTATTGATTTAGTTTGTACTTTAAAGTAACAAGGTGTGAAAATTGCGTATATTTTATTCAATAAAACAATAGCTGTGTTAAATTTTATCACTTTGCTCTGGTGCTTAGCCATTACACCCTGGATAGGGCGTAAAATGGCGAGATAAGATGGCGAAAATGGCATACTTTACATATTTAATCATATCTCCTTAAGTATCATGGGTTGAAAGTTGCACATTTTTTATTTTGTAAGTGAGGATTTGGGGTTCATCAAAATCTATAATTTGTTATGATTTGCCTTTGTTTAAAATTTTTATAATAAAAATGCAAAATTCCAATTGTTTTCTTTTCTCCCCATATAAGTAAACTTGCTGAACTCAGCTGGATTAGTCGACTAGGATTGTGACAGAGTAATAGTAATATTTTTCTGGATAAAATACTGAGTTAGCTGTTTTTAAAAATCAGCTCAAAACGAGCCTTTTAACCAAACATTTGTACCGCCCCGTTTTTAATAATTTAATCTTAAAATCCCACATTTTATATAACGCGTTTTGGCATAATAAATTTCGAATTTGTCGAACTTTTATTATATTTCTACATAAATTACATCTCCCTTCATTTCAATATTAGTCATATTTTTACAAGTCAAATTTTAAAAAATTAGATATTCAATTTTTTATATCTTTATTCAGAAAATTACATAGCTTTTCTAATAATTCCATTTAATTAAGGCCTTATTTTTCAGTTAGTGAATTTTATTTAAAAACTGTGTCCATTTTTAATACGAATTAGATTGCGAGAAAACGTTATGTTAATTTTAAAGTAACTTTATTTCTGAAAAGGCACACCTAAAAAAAGCTATGTTTAATATATTATTAGAATTTGCCTGAATAAATTTAGCAAATGAATTTTTGGAATAAGAAGAATATTTCATTTCTTCCCTTCTAATTACAAAGATTTTGACAGATTTATCAGAGA